CCTCAGTTTGTTTCTCAGAGTCCATAGTCTCTCATGGTTCATCTCCCCCCCGAATTCTCCCCTTTCATTTTTCCCTTCCTACTATCTTCTTCTTCTTTTTTTTTTTTAACAAAGCATTGCTACAACAATTCTTTGTTTTGCTAACTATAAGGGAAACCTACCATGGATGAAAGCAAAGAATATGCCTCTATTTCTGCCTTCTTGGACTTGGGAATCTCTGAAGCTTTTCCATTCACTCACTCACTCGCTCACCCATGTATTCAATAAATATTTGGCCCCTTCTCTGAACACATGGACGTGAAAGGCATTGCAGTTTGAGATACCCACAGTTCTTTTGGTCTAAATGAATTTAAAGGTTAGCCTGAGGCTCAGTACATAGTAGGAACTTATCACATAATTGTTGAATGAATAGATGATTTTGTAAGAACAGATGTCTGCTGGCTAAGAGAAGTAAATAAATGGATGTTGTCTCACAAGTCTGTGTGAGTATGCTGGAGATTTACACGGATATCTAGCATGGTGCTATTAGAAGATGTATAACTGTAATTTGCATTGATTTACCTCTTTTCAATTCATGTCTTATATACATTCTTTTTTCCCTTGGATCTGTCACCTCACTTGCTAGTTTATAGTGGATATAAGTCTTAGAAACAGAAAGCATTTACAAGACAGGTTATGAAGAAATCCCAACGTGAATGGTGGGTACATGGTGAATGAGAAGAGGACACTTGGGTTTGGGGCTCAGTTTCTTCACTGAGTTACTGTGTGACTTTCACTGAGTCCCTTCTCTTCTGTGGGCTTTATGTCTACGATCTGAATGAGGAAATGAGGTTAGACTAACTCTAAACTCAAGGCTTTTACCAGCTCTAAAATGTTCAGCGACATTGAAATTCAAAGAATAGAAATATTGGAAAAGGCAGCCTCATGTTGAGCAAAAAGCCAGGCAGGCATGGTTCAGAGTCTAGCTGTTGTGATGGCTGTGTGACTCAGGGCCAGTTGCTCAGAGAAACCTTAGAGTAACACTGTGGTGTAGTGGAGGGGAGTCTGGGCTTAGGTGGAGTTCAGACCCCAGTTTTGCCATTGTGTAACCCTGTGAATTGGGACAATTTATTTAGCATCCTTTCACTTCCTTTACCTCAAATTTAAAGATGCACTTAAGCCACAGGCTTTTAAAAATGAATATTTGGAAAGCAGAGCAATATTTGGATATATATATTTAACCAATATAAATATATATATTTAAGAGCTAGCAGTTATACTGTAGAAGTATATAACTGTGTATGTGGACATGGTTATGTATATAATGTATATATGGTTAGGATAATAATGCCTACGCTGTCAGTTTATTGTTATTTGTAGGGTTGTTTCGAAGAATGTATAGACACTTGTTCATAATCATGGCATCCATTTAAATGAGAGGTAAGCGTATGTTAGACAAGAGCCTGGCAACTTTATGTGTCACTGTTGTTTTTAGGGATTGGTGTAATTATAGAAGGTTTTACAGAAAGGTGATCAGAGCTGGATTGTGGAGGACTGTTACAATTCATAATACCATTCTCACTAGATATTTGGCATATTCTTTTTTGAAAGCAAACTATATGTGGTAGACGCTGTTCTAGGAATGGAATGAATAGGAGAGACTAAGTATCCACCCTTTGTTTAGAATATATTCCAGAAAAAGACCTTGTCAATATAAAAATAAATAGTTTTGGTAGCAAAAATTTCTATAAGGTAAGTGAAGCAATGCTAGGGACTCATGGCTGATGGGAGAGGGGATGAAATGAGATTTAGAAAACTGTTAGTAAAATGTATAGGAACTGAAGATTCTTTTGAGTATTGTCTAGAGGGAAACTGTTCTTAACACAGAAGTATAAAGTTGAATAATACATTTTCCTTTGACTTATATTATTTTATAACCATTTTCCTTTGCTATTTAGCCTGAATCTTAAATGCCTGTGGTCTACTCATCCACAAGTTGTTTGTCTGTTTCACATTCTCTGACAAGTGGGTGATCCAAAATGTAGTGAATCCACACTAGATTGGGTCTACACTGTGTCAGACAAGGGGGGGCATATGGCAATTTTTATTTGACTCGATAGTTTATTTTAGGTTTATATAAGCAGAGCCATGGATGCTTGAAACACTTTTTTTGTTTAAAACTAAACATTTTAGTTTTAAACTAAAATTTGGAATTTGGAATTTGGAAGTTTCAGGTACAGTGCTTAGTTCAGGACTTTGGGTGGGTGTGGTTGTAATACATCCATCTTTCCTTCTCTCTGTCTTTGACCACATGAGCATTAACACAAGAAAGTCTTGTGAATCTTGGGAGGGGAAATTAAACAGTTGGAAAATGAGGCCAGGAGGTGAGCTTTGATGCTGTGCCTATCCCACCTTGCTCCTCAAGCAACTTCAGATGGGGTGCACATGAACACTGTGAAGACACACCATCAAAGTGTAGGTGATGTGCAGGAAACCAAGGTACACTCAAACCAAAAGAGCTACAGAACATCCGGCACCAGTTTTGCACTTTCTTTTAATCCTTTAAGATTGGGGGTATGGGAAGAGGAACATGGAGCTATTTGGAAGTCCTTCTCATGATGCGGATATGGAGACAGGAAGAACAGCTGCTGCTTTTTATGGAGCAATGAATGAGAACTCCTTTTCCTGAGAATTTCTCTGTGCTAGACATCACACACTCTGACAAGCTGTATCTCAAAGTATAACTGAACAATGGTACTACTTAAATCCAAACAACAGTTTTCCATGTACAAAGATCAGAAGTTGTTCGTCACTGTAATCGTAACAAATCTCTTTTTTAGATATATAGGGTTTTAAAAAAGCATGAGTTCTGAGTCAGGATTGGTGGATTCCAATCCTAACTTCACTACTTTTTTTTTTTTTTTAAAGATTTTATTTATTTTTGACAGAGAAAGAGACAGCCGGAGAGGAACACAAGCAGGGGGGAGCAGGAGAGGGAGAAGCAGGCTTCCCGCTGAGCAGGGAGCCCGATGTGGGGCTCGATCCCAGGACCCTGGGATCATGACCTGAGCCAAAGGCAGATGCTCAACCGTCTGAGCCACCCAGGTGCCCCTTCACTACTTTTTTGATATGCGATTTTGATGAATGTCTTTCTCTCTGTGCCACATTATTTCCATTTGTGAAATTAGAATGAAGATAGTATTAACTAACCTGTAAGGATTAATATTCCTTTGACATCGGTTCTTCTCCAGGCTGAGTTCTCCTCATTCTTTAAATCTTAACTCAGGCTCATCCCGTCCAGGAAGACTTTGGCGACAGGGTTAAAAGCCCATTCTCACCCACAGAGCATCTTCATCACGGCTTCTACTTCATCATCCAAACGTCCTCTGTTTGTGTTTTCCCACGCCACCTTCTCATTTGGGTTTCTAAAGACTCTTTCCTGGCAATTTGTCCTGACTTTCCCTTTTCTCATAACGATCAGAGACTGCAGCTCTCTTGTTGTAAACACAGCAGATCTCTGTGGCAGTGAGCAGAGCCAGGTCCTACATAAATTCACATAATAATAGCGTCCTCCCCCTTATTGCCCCAACTCTACCTGAACACAAGCATTTATCTTGGAAGATGAGATTTAGCGCAAGGTAGGCTTTCTTTTTTTAATCATTCAGAATTATGTTCTTTTGTCTTTATCATTAGCAGGAAATCTCCAAAATTCCTGAAATATAAGGGCATCCTATACTAAACAAAGCAAGTATCCCACTGTCCTGGGTTTGGCTCAATTTGTCTACATGCAAACTTTCCAGGTACTCACCATTAAGTTTTTTTTTCCATAGACAATTCTCCTGTGGGTTAGAAACACACTGATTGCCAATTAATATCCTTAGACTTGGAACAAGAGGTCAACTTTGGGACTCACAGACTTAATTGAGTTTTACCTTTATAACGGGTGGAGCTGCAAGAGCTTAGAATTTTCTGCTTCCAGCCAAATGCAAATTCTCTGTGCACAACAATGACATCACCTCCTTCTCCCTCCTTCTCTTCCTTTCTCCTCCTCCTCCACATCCTTCTTCACCTTCTCCTCTTCCTTCCCTTCTTCCCCTTCTCTCCCTCCTCCTCCCCTTCTCTTCCTCCTTCTTTTTACATCTCATATTACCTCCTTGGGTGCTCAAATGTTTTGGAGAGAAAGGATTTTGCTACTCCTTTATCCTCAGGTCAGCATTCATATACAAGTACTCAAATAACATTCCCATTTGTATGGATTTATTTCACGTGAGAAAGAGGTTTACCTGTCTAACTTCTATTCATTGTTAAAAATTCAACTCAGATTTCAGCCACACCAGAAAGTCATTTCTGAAGCCACACTTCAGTGAAGTACCCTCTTCCCTGTTCTTTACAGGGAGGTGTGCGGTGTGGTGAGGAAAAACAGCATTCAAATCCCACCTCTATGAGTTCGAATCATGAATTTTCCCCTTTGGTCAAGATACTTAACTTCTCTGGCCTCAGGTTGCTTATCTAAAAAGTAACCAATGAATGACGACAACGATAGTATAATAGTCCCCTTCGAGGAGATATATATATTCAAGATGCTTAACAGATATAAATATATTCTTTTATTATATATACCATATTGATGTTTATATAGTCAGTTATATATTTGTACCACTTTCTTAAGTTAGAGCTTCTAGAGCAGTGCTGGCCAAATGAAATATAATGTGAACCAAAATTAGGGTCCTATATAAAACATTAATTTTTCTAGTCTCCAGTAAATTTAAAAAAGTAAAAGAAATAGGTCAATTAATTTAATAAGACAATTTAATAACACAGGAGACCCAACATATCATTTCAAAAAGTAATCAAGATAAACAATACGAACAATTACTGTTTAAAGTATTTTTTGTTCTAGGGGTGCCTGGGTGGCTCAGTTGGTTAAGCGGCTGCCTTCAGCTCAGGTCATGATCCCAGGGTCCTGGGACCGAGCCCCGCGTCGGGTTCCCTGCTCGGCGGAGAGCCTGCTTCTCCCCCTCCCTCTGTCTGCCGCTCTTCCTACTTGTGCTCTCTATCTCTGTTAAATAAATAAATAATAATAAAAAAATCTTTAAAGTATTTTTTGTTCTATAAATCCAGTGTCCATTATATTTTCAGCACATTTCAATATGGACGTGCCACATTTCAAATGCTCAGTCGTCATTCGTACCTAGTGGCTACTGTATTACATACACAGTATCTACCATGTGTACACGTGTATGTATACACAGGTCTAGAGGACAGGGAATATCCCACTCCAATCCTTTGTACTGCTGGTGCAGAAAAAGAGGTCCTCTGGTAAAGGAGTACTTAAATACATATTTTTAATAATATATTCAAATAATAAAACATAAGAAAAGAAAAAAATTTCATAAATATTAAGGATATGAACATATTTAAATAAGGAAATGTACTACTTTGTGATTGACATATTGACGTATGATCTCCATTGACAGAAATAAGCATTCTGGTGTAGATATAATATTTTCCAGTAGAGGGCAGAGATCTAACCTGTAACTAGACAGTGACTGCTGAATGGTACAAGATAGATTTTTTCAGTTTGGGAGAACCATTCATACCTAAACTTTAGAAAGGGAAAACCAGTGTGGTTTCTCAGAAGCAAATGATGTCATCGCACTGATGGCCCAAACAACTTAGTCAATGAGTATACAGGGGAGGGATAGAGCAGTATTTCTTTCTCTTTCTGGTTTAAACTGTCTTGATAAATGTCTAATTATTTAATAGATGAACTACTTTAAGTAGAGTTCATAAGCCCCAGTAGGATAGCAGTTCACACGGGAAGTTGATAAGTCAGCCACATCCTGTTTTTAGAGATCATTTTTTAAATAGATAATTTCATTTGTTGTTCCTAAATTCCATAAATATTTTGACATAAATCTTCTTGTCAGTGCCTCTGTATTGGCAAAGAATTTCTCAATCTCCATAGCTTCCTCCTATTTCTTCCCTCTTTTTATTGTTCTTTGGCATTCCTTGTAAAAGCACACAGAAGAAAATGAAAGATATATGGGATTCATATTTTAAAGTTCCAAGACTTTTCTTGAACAAGCATGCCAGAACTTATGCATTCACATGACTGTTGGTTTCCAATGCAGTCCTTTTAGAAAGCATTTTACTTGTTCTCATAATATTGTTCTAATAAAGATATTTCTGTGACTTCTAATGGCACTGATTTCAGTCAGATTTTAAGCAACTCCAAAATACCGGTAATTTCATTAATACACTTTGTTTTCTTTTTGAAACACTGCATTATTTTAACAACACACATTCATTCACAACACTAAAGTGTGGATAACTTTTGCCTATTTTCAAAATAATATCCACCTATAAATAAAATGATTTTTCAAAGGTATGAAGGTAGTTCCTAAAAGATGTTGAGTAATAGTAGTATTAGAAAAAACCTTCAGTCTCCCAAAGGAACTCTTCTGAAATATGTCTTGCTTACATTTCATGTGTCACTATACAAAATTTAGACTCACCTTTAAGTAACTTCAAGTTACAAGAAGAGACTCTGAAGATAATCTTATTTGCAACTTGATGCTGTCTCTGACAAAACCTATGAAAATTATGACACAGACAATGGGATAAGCCATAATATCTTGTACATTGTTAGCACACAATTTTTACATTATTCGTAATAGCAGACCTTGCTAGACTATGAGGTCCTACAGCAAGACTGAGTTGACCTCAATCTATCTGCAAATCCTTTCCTGCCTGAAGTTGGTCTATATTTACCTCTATCCACTCTACTTTCTACCCAAGCTAGAGCTTATTTTCTGTATATTTCTTGTTCAGCTCAGTTCAAAATCCATTGATTGAGCACTCACTCTGCCAACCAGGACTCCAAACACGAATGTGGTACTGTCCTTGAGCACATGGAGCTTAAAGTTGGTTAGGGAACCAGACACTTAAATGGTTCAATTTAATTTCTCATATTCAGTGTTACAGTGGAGGGATGGAGTAGTTTCTGTGACAGGAGTTTATTCATTCACCAAATATTGATTATATATGCACTATGGGGCAAGTACTGATAACATGAGGTGTCTGGATGGAGTTTAGCTCCTAGCTGGGGCTTATAGAGAAGTGGGACACGTAACAGATCGTAGTCACCAAGGAGAAAAGAACTCATGTGATTTCCTAGAGTTTTCTCAGTTTGGATTGATGTGCATTTTAGAAAAAGCCTTGTGTCTCTGAAAATTGCTGTTTCTCCTGGTCCCAAGTTGTTTTGAACAGTTTAAATTGCCAAGTAATTCCATATTTTATTCATTGAATACTCTGTCTACCTCTTCTCCTTTTTCCCTCATCCTACCACACATGGTTCTGTTTACCTCATTTACATGCCTGGATCCTATGTTCATCTAGTGCACAAAGATTCTTACAAATGAGCTTTGACCCTTGTAGAACTTTAACCTTTATAGACTACATACATCAGCATACAAATGGCATTCTGTATATGGGGAAAGAATATTAAAATCATTTTCTGGTTATTTGGGTATGAGTGTATCCCTCACAACCCAGAGATACAAATAGTCCTGTCTATATACATGGTTTGGCTTTCAATAAGCACAATTTACAGGCTGAAACCAAAAATGACCAAAAGAAATTCCAAGCATTACAAGTGTTCCTTGTGAGACATTAAAACACATCTAATTCAGGGCGCCTGGGTGGCTCAGTTGGTTGAGTGTCGGACTCTTGATTTCCACTCAGGTCATGATCTCAGGGTCCTGGGATTGAGCCCCACATTGGGCTCCATGCTAACCAGAGAGTCCTTGAAGATTTCTCTCCGTCTCCGCCTCCCCCACTCATGCTCTCTCTCTCAAATAAATCTTTTAAAAAAATAAAGATAAAATGGATTCCAAAGAGACATACCTAATTCATAACTTCAGCAACATACACAACACTTAAGAGACTCATTTGTGACCCTCGTGACAACATCGATACTCAATATTTCTTTTTCCAGTAAAAGCAACTTTTATTCTATGTCCCACTCTGGCTGTTCTCCTCTGTCCCCCAGATGTTATAGACTTAACATTGACTTAACCTTCCATCTACTGTCCTGCTCTTTCTCCAGCCTTCTCTGCTTTTACTCTGACTGCATGCATCATAAAAGAGTAAGAGCTTGCCTAACCAAGATTGAATCTTCTGGGTTAAGAAGAGAGTTTGTGGGTTAGCAATAAGAGAAGCATTCTTTTGAGGACTAGAATAGACAAAAAGTTTGCAAAGACTTCCATATTATTAATTTATTTCTTTATACGTGCATATTTATAGCTCTTACACACAATGAGATGAAACATTTTCTTAATCCAAAGTAAACTGAATCTAAGTTCTTCAAGCAAACCATTGATTTCATGGTGGTTTTGCATTAATAAACTCAGTGTAACTAGGTCTTATGCTTTATTTACAGCTCCCATTGTCATAAATTGATGTCCAAAGGCTTAGAATCTTGTTTTTATTAAAATTAAAATCTGATGCTCTAGGAATGGGAGTTGTTAGATGTGGCTTTGCCCCCAACAATGCTTTCCAAATAATCTGTTGCAAATGTTGAAACAGGGTACCAGGGAGTAGTGTTCTGTAAGATTTTGGGCAATACAGATCTGTGTCTTGAATAACAAAACAGGACAATGACATCTACTGCTGGCTCCTACAGTCTTTAAGCTTCCTGATCTTCAGAAAGGGCTCTGGCTGTGTTTCAAGTTAGAAAGATCCAGAAGGAAGAAAAACAAGTCTTCTTGTTGACTTGAACTTTGGTTTGTTTTCTAGGAAATGTGTTATTTCATATTTTGCTTCATTTTTTTCTGAATTTCCAAAACAACTATAGTTTAAACCACAATTTGATGATAATCTTGTGCTTATGTCTTTTGTTTTATGTGTATCACCTCTGTGTCCCTTAAAGGTTTCTAAGGTACAGAGAAAGTACTTTGTCTCACGCTTGTCTAGTAGAGGTCGTAGATATACGGTAACTCCTCAAAAAATATACAAAGATGGAAAATTCTCAGGGAATTAAATTAGAATGAATTCAGGGCTTCGCATGTTCCAGGTATTGTGCTAGATGTTTCAATGCATTATTCTTTACTGAAACCTCACAACAATGCAGTGTGATCCTTTTATTCTTATTTTCAAAAATGAAGGTCTTAATACTCGGAGAGGCTATTTTTTATTTGCCTGATATTATACCACTAGTAAGTAGCACATTTGAGATCTCTGCATTTTTTCCTGCTTTACTTTTAATTTCATAAAATACTTCTATGTTTATGTATTTACTCATGAAAACATCTATTTACTTAAAAATGTTGGAGTCAGTTGAGTACAGATATGAACTTTTTTTTTTCAGTCACTGCACTCACACTTGTGTCAGTTTCCCCCTCTCTGCCTCTGATGGGATCTCAGGCAGTCACAGCTGGCCAACCTCATCTTCAGTATCAGATGAAACTCTGACGTTCAAAATTTCTCCACCTCCCAGTTCAGACTGACCTTCAACTTCCACAGTTGAACAGTGGGAAAAGGGAGTCTGGTTTGTGCTTCCTCTCCCACCCCTCTGCTCTTTTGCTCTTCCTGTCCTCCTTCAACCCCAGAGATGCTTCTGGATTCTCCAGGTTTGGGAAAGTGAAAATGGATGAAAGGAATGGATTGGTTTTGTTCTCCCTTAACTATTCAATGCCTTCTATGTGGCAAATGACCATTTCAGATGTCAGTGAAGACTGCAATATGGAATAGTTTGTTAGATGGTTTTATTATAAAGAAAGACCTCATCAATATGGCTTTTTATTTAGAAAAGTCTGGAAAATAAATGTGAGGTGACCCAATTAAGAAATGAATTATAGCACTAAGAGGGGAAAGCAATGAAGGAGGATTTCAATAGAGAAGACATTCAGAGAATTAGAATTGGTGAAAACACTCAAGTGAACTGAAAAAATAAGATTTACGAGATCCATGTAAGCATACTGATACAAATAAAATGGAGAAGACATGTGAAGTCAATTCTGGGTTGACAAAAGAGATAAAGGAGATACAGACTGAAAGACCATCTGTCTTTCATTTCCCAAGTACATGTTCATTGAAATTCTCATTCACAACACATGACGATTTAATGCAGGATTCTGTAATTGCTCAGACTCTATAAAGAGTTCTGGAATCAAGAAATAATAGGCAAACTCACAATGGGGCTTGTGTGTTGAAGGGTAAGGAAGGAATATAAAGAAAAATAATGAATATGTGCTTTCATTTAGAAAAAATATATAATAAATTTTACAAAGTTTTGGGAATTTTGTTTGTGAGGAGAGTTTCCCTATTTCCCATCACACTGAAATTTAGGTAACTAATCCTCTGAGAGCATCAGCCTGTCAATTGCTTATTGTGTTGTGGCCTATTGTGTGGTCTACTTGCCTGTTGGAATCAGACCTGAAAACTTTTATCTCTGATCCTATTTATTCAGAAATTATTCTTGAGCGGCTTCAGGTTTTACCGTAAGTGTTCACAGGAACATAAGCAGTATTTTTTCTAGTAATTTGAAAGCCCATTATGAAATATTACATTTCTTTCTCTTCTTTTTTTTTATGGGGGGGAGGGGCAGAGGGAAAGGAAGAGAGAGAATTTTAAGCAGGCTCCATGCCCAGCACAGAGCCTGACATGGGGCTCAATCTCATAACCCTGAGATCATGACCTGAGCTGAAATCAAGAGTTGGGCACTTAACTGACTGAGCCACCTAGGTACCGCTGAAATATTAAATATCTAAAAAACTGTGTATAGCAGACTGTCTGTTTAGGTACCTGAGCCTATGGTGGCAGAAAGGATCACAAACTACAGTGTGATTATATTGCATTAATCTTATTTTTAAAATTATCCAGGTTGGAATATATCATAATTTTTGGATTATCAATCCTCAGTCTTTGTTAAGTCTCAATAATAATAATAATAATAATAATAATCAGAATCCACTGACTTTTTTCTCTAGTAGTGCAAATAGGATATCAGTTGCTTAAAACATTACTCATTTGGAGACATTCTCTCTCTCTCTCTCTCTTTCTCCCCCACACCCACTCCCCCTACATACACTCTTACACATATTCACATACACATTCCACCATCCACATCTCTATAACTCTAGGTAGGGATTGTCTTCTCCCACAATATAACAATCTTTAGGAAACTTTCTAAATAAGAAAGCCTTTCCAAAATCATATATTTGAAAACAATTATACATTCTCAATGCTGGTCCAGTAACAAAATTAAGTCACAATGTAAGGCAGTAGGGGTGTGCTGGTCCTGATAAGGGAGGAAGGGGATTCTATACCAAATGAGTTGCAGAACCCAGCCAGCATGCACTGGCAGGAACTGAGAGAGGATGATAGGAGTAGATTTTGAGGATGTTTAATGAAGGAATTGGAACATAAGATTGAATAAGGGAGAGTTTATCAATTCGAGAACCCTCTCCTGATATGCAGAATTTAACATCATAGCAAAAATATCAGGAGATGTCTCCTGATGACTCCTAGAATGGAGAGAACTATGGCTAGAATTGCTGTGCCAGATGAGGGAAGATGGTATTAGTAGTCTCA